TGATTAGAATGTTTAGGAATTTATTTTTTTATTTTTTTTGGTCTTGTGAAATTGACGACTAAATAGTAAACGACGCTCCGAGCAGTCTTCTTTTGAAAACGACCCGAGTCCGGATAGCTCGGTTACTAATTTATCCACTCACAAAAATATTGCAAACAAACTTCAGAAATGATAAGAAAAAGATAGGGAGACATGGGGTCTCCCTGTCTTAAACCCCTAGAAGGTCTAACAAACCCCACAGCATGCCCATTAACCAAGATAGAAAATGTAGGAGTTGTAACACAACCCATGACCCATTTCACAAAGACCTCCTCAAAACCCATTTTGATCATTGTCTTACAGACACTCCCCCACTCCACTCTATCATATGCTTTCAGCATATCTAACTTCAAAGCCAAAAAACAATTACTCCCAAACCTATGTCTATTAAGAAAGTGAAAACACTCTTGGGCAATGACAACATTATCAAACAATTTCCTATCTGGGACAAATGCAGCCTGAGACTCACTAATACACACATCTATACAATTTCTCATTCTATTTGCCAGAATTTTAGTGATAATTTTATAAACAACCCAACAGAGGCTTATGGGTCTAAACTGGGACATAGAAGTGGGGTGGAGACATTTAGGAATTAAGGCAACTAGAGTGTGGTTCCAGTACCTTAATAGCCTCCCAGAATTGAAAAAACTTATGATGGCACTACACAGGTCTTCCTTGAGCACTGGCCAGAAGTGTTGGAAAAAAAGGGTTGTCATGCCATCTTCTCCTGGAGCCTTGGAAGGACTCATTTGGAATAGGGCCTTCTGAATCTCCAATTCACCAACAGAACCTGTGAGTTTGTTGTTCATAGCAGGGTTGATGACTGGCATAATGTTCTGCAGGGCTTCTTCCTCCATGACAGACCCTTCAGAGGTGAATAGGGTTGAAGAGAAATCCACCACATGCCCTTCTATATCACTTTGAGTTTGATAGATTTTGTCCCCTTCAACCAGCCTAGATATTGCATTATGTTTTCTTCTCTGGATTGTCATGGCATGGAAGAATTTGGTATTAAGATCACCTTCCTTTAGTCATAAAATCCTTGACTTCTGTTGCCAAAATATCTCCTCAGAGCAATTTGCAGCATTCAACTCCTGTTGGAGTTTCTCCCAATCTTCCCAATTCATGTCTCCTCCCAAATTTCTCATCTCTTCTAATTTCAGATTTAATTTTCCAATGGTGTGACTGTTCCCAGCCTTGAACATTTTAGCCCATTTGAATAGAGGCACTCTAGTTTTCTTCACTTTCTCCTTCAGTCTGTACATAGGAGTTCCCTCCTCTTCTTCCTGCCAGGCATTAGTCACTACATCCATCACACCTTTTCTTTGGAGCCATCTCCTATAAAAAACAAACCTCCTTTTGGGTTTGGGGTTTTTGTCACCATCTTCCAACAACAGCATTCCATGATCAGAGGAGCTCTTGAATATATTTGTAGCTTTTGCTTGGGGATGCTTACTGATCCATCCCAGAGATGCAAAGCCTTTGTCAAGAACTTTTTCTACATACCCCTCCTCTGCCATGTTGTTTCTCCAGGTATATTTGTGCCCCTCCATACCAAGCAGACACATTCCCATGAGAGCAATAAAATTGTTGAAACCTTGACAACTCTTTTTGTTCCTTATCCTGCCTCCCTGTTTTTCCTCTGGGCTACTCAGGTCATTCCAATCTCCAATGATTACCCACTTGTCTCCCCAGTTCACTTTCTCCCTCAGCAACAAACCCCACTGGTTCCTTCTCTCTTGTTTGTTTGTGCTCATGTACACAAAGATAACCCACTCTGGATTCTCATAATTCTCCATCTGGTAGAGGATTTGGATACAGAACCCTCTCTTAATCACATCAATGATCTGGACCTCTCTGTCCCAACACAGTAAAAGCCCCCCATTAGTCCCTAGAGGTTCATCATAAGTTCATCTGTCCTCAAAACCTAATCTCACACAAATTTTGTATAGAAAGGAGATATGTTTTTTAACTTCAGATAAACATACAAAATTTGGATGGTGAGACTTACAAGCCTCTCGCAATTGGGAAACTGTAGAGGGCCCACCCAGCCCTCTACAATTCCACATCATGGCTATCATTGCTGAGATGGGAGCCACTTTTGGTTGGCTGCCTTCACCATTTGAGTTTGCCCTTTGACTCTCTTCCTTATAGGTTCTTCCTCCTTTGATTGATTCCGATGTTGCTCATCACATCCCTCATCTATGGCTTGTCTCTTCTTCTCTTTATTCTCTTGAGATTCTGTTATTGGGCTCATCTTCCTCTGTAATCTGCCATCTTTGACTGCCTTCCTCTTCCATGTTCTAAGTTTAGATCCTTCTGCTATTGGTTTGTTTGAGGATTCTGGGTCATTTTTAGGTGCCTCCATCATCAAAGCTTCTGGATTCCTCACAATTATCATTGCTTGTTGTTGGTTAAAAGATTTTGGGAGAGCTACCACATCCAGAAACTTTAGAGGAACCTCCACAGTGTAAGGTCCTACCAGCTCTTCCACATTACTGTGTTGCATCTAAATTTCTTTTGATTGAGAAGTCTCCACCTGTTGATTGTCCATCTTGCTTGAAGAGCCAACTTCCCCTGCCCCTTCTTTGGATGAATTCCTTGTCTCTGCATTGCGGCCATTATTTTGATCTTCTGAATCAGTCTGATTGCTTTGATTTAAACTATCAGTCCAATGACCTCCTTCAGCCGCTTTCACCCAATCCCCATATTGTCCTTCTTGGAAGATGTTTTCCTCAATATCTAAGATCTTCTTTTTGCAATTTTATCTATATGGCCTATGTGACCACAGTAATAACATAGGTATAGGAGCTTCTCATATTTGAATTGAACAACAACTACATCATCTCCCAACCTTATCTTGGCCCACCTTGGTACAGCTTCATCAAGATTCAGGGTAGCTAAAATCCTAAGCACTCTCCCACCTTGACTACCCACTCTCGCGATATGAACGTTTCTGATGCTTTTGAACATCCCTTTCAGCTTCAATCCTACCACAGTACTAAGCCAATTCAATGGAACGTTGTGCACTTGAATCCACAAATTAATCGATTGAAAACATTCATCTGACTCTGAAATTTTGTGTTTCCAAGTCTTTAGGATTAGGTATTGTCCATCAAAGACCCAATTTATGTCGATGCCTACCTTCTCTTTATCTTTCACCGACTGAAAAATGAACTGGAAAAAATTGTGCTCCAGTTCTCTAACTTCAAGTGCATTGCCCATTTTCCATGCTTGTGCCATTTCCCTTCTGATGCCGATCCAGTTTGCTCTTTTATCTCCGATAACTTTCCCAAATAAACTTCGAGTACATTCATCTGCACTGGTGCGAACATCCCGGTCTTCAACATCATAAAAGGCATTCTCCTTGTCCGATAGCGTGAATATTTCCATGAGAGAGCCAAGCACCAGTTCCTCGTTCTCCATCACCCTTTGTCCTTTGTCACAGATCTAATAAAAGCCCACATAGAACAATAGATATAAATCTGCACACCCTCACTAGAAGCCACTCCACTCACACTGAATAAAAACCCTAACTCACAAACCCACCTCTCAAAGGAGAGATCGAAAACTCTAAAAGAGAAAGTAAGACACTCAAAGGAGAGAAGAAAACTCTCAAGAGAGAAAAATCCACGATTAGTACTCGAGATAGAAAGAGCTAATCATCTAATAAATTGCAGATCCCATAAAACGAGTCATTCAGCGCCACATAAAAGTACTACGCTACTAGAAAGTAGTTATATGTCCATATGCAGTACATAGGCATACTGCATACAAGTTCATCCACAATATCCCATATTCTCTGTGGCAAGTCAAAGCTAAAAATCGTGACAAAGTTGCAAGCCAAAGTTCTAAAACAGTAACGTCACAAAGCTATCGATCAGCAAGCCACAAGGATTCAGATATTATACACCACAAAAGTTAAGCATGAGGGTTCATAAATATACCTACAAGCCACAACAGAACTTCCCAAAGTAGTTATCATACAGAACAGTGATTTCACTCATCATTCTACTGGAGGATTCCTAAACAATTGTAGTCAAATGTCAAAACACATTAAACACCAATTCTAGTTATTCCCCGCAACCTCCTGGTCGATTTCATCCACGTGATCTTTTAGTATTTTCCACTGCAAAATAAGTTGAGATGAAGCAAATAAGATTTATATCAATGTTATCAATGGCAGATGGTGGGCCTTGGCGGAAAGCCCAAAAACCGCCATATATCTATGACTGATGGCATGTCGGAAGCTATGGCAGACCCAAAAATATTATATATATGATTCTATACACATATATGATTCTATACACATATATGAAACCATAAACACCTTCAAAGGTAAAACATGTAAATAAATTTTCATTATTATTATTTTTTTTCAAAATGACACTAGTTACACAAAACAGTAACTATAATCACCATTCAACAAGTTCGACATAACTACCCACAAGAAAAAGAATCAATCGAACACGTGACAACCCTTTAATCGAATTCAAACCAAAAGCAATTATAAAACATGCCAAAGATTAGGTAGCCTGTGGGATTGGTTCGCCAGAGAAAGGATCACCAGTGTCGTGTTCTATTTCTCAATTTCTCTCGCTATTTGGTTGCTAGAATATTACTGTTTCTTTTGAATGAGAAACCTGATCCTCTTTTGTCTTCTATTATTTATTATTTTCTAATAGATCTGGGGTTTTATTAAAGATTTTGGGCTGGGCAAGTTGGGTGTTTCTCCCTTAAATTCTTCAGAAATCCACTATTTCCGCCATGGTCGCTATTTGACAACACTAATTTATATTGAACAAGAAAATTCTGAAAGTGGAAAAGACTCAGAAAATCCTTTCAAAAGGCAGCAGTTTACCTGGTCCATGCTCAGTGAAATCCCTGTAATCACGAAGAAAAGCCTAGGGTCATTATATTGTTAAAATTATCAAAGCAAAAAAAAAAATTGCGGTTGACAAATCTTCAAAAATTATCGAAAACTGTACTGATTCAATTGGATTAATATTCATGAGAAGAAAAATCTGCAAAAATTGTAAATCAATCTTGAATGAGCGGCTGCAAAGCACAAATTAAAAATTGATGAAGTGAAAAAGATATAAGGCGACGTTTGGATTGGGAGATTTACTGAGGGATTTGAAATCTAAAGTTTGCAAATTTACAAGTTCAAATCCCCATGCATGTTCGAATGATAATAGAAGTTGGACGATGTCAAATTCACGCTAGATAGATTTTAGTCATTACTTTGAAGGATTTTAAATGACTCCTCAAAACTATTGATTTGAAATCCACTGTTTATCTCACCGTTGACGACCACACGGTCTGCAAGTATGACTTTTCATATGACTTTTCTAAGATTCATCACCACCGCAAGTCCACACCATCGATGCAATCTAGTCTATGTATTTATAATCCTTTCAACAAATCCATTCAAGGAGTCTGAAAGTGGAAAATTTGAATTTCAAAAAATTCGAAATCAAGGGATTACAAATCCCTCAATCCAAAGCCTAAAAGAATTAGATGAGTTTTGTCCTAGTGATCAGTCTCACATCAATATAACAATCAAATGCTCCAGAGAACGAATAAAAAGAAATACGTCCAGCTAATACATGTCATAGTAGAAACCCAATGAAAACATAATGAAGGCCTTCATAGACTAAGTTCCAAAAAAAAAAAAAAAAAACAATGCTAGGTAACTAGCAAGTCTAGTATTATATTCAGTCAGCACCCTGCACTTTCATTCGTGAGTTTTTAGCCTCCTTGTAACTCAGATAGCATCAGTCGGTTCCTATTCTCTTTCTAAGACAGATGATCCTTGTTCCATAGAATTAAAAGGTAAAATGTGTTGGGTACATGAACTAAACAAAAGCTTTATGACAACCGACAATAAAACCACCCTGATTCAAAATTAAATACAACACACGTAAAATATTTCCACCACCCCAATCTAATAACAAAAACTAGTCAATATCAACTAGCAAGGACTTATTGTATACACCAGGAAAATGAAGACTGTTACTAGAACTACTGTAGGATATGAATTCTATTTAATATTGCAAAAACCAATCCAAGTAATGGAAGAATAAAGGTAATAAGCACTGATATCAAATAAGTGGTTATGTGATCAACTAGCTTAAACGAACTGTTGTTAGTGAAACATCCATGCGGCTAGCTGAGTACAAATTATATACCAAAGCGATTCCTCGTATAATGCACTACTATCCAAAAAAAAAAACAAAAGCTGATCCGCATATTTTCAGACTTTCCTCATTACTTCAAATAACATAAATGTACCATTTACAACAGCCAGAAAGTTGCAATTTCTGAATTGCCATTTCAAAACATCAAAAAAGCCACAAAATATGATATATGTGATGGGAATATAAGGCAGTTGAAACAAATCCTTTACACAGTCATGCAGAACCCATCACCCCCCCGGTTATCCATGTTCCCTCATTTTCTGCTCATATAGATAGAGTTACTTATATACCCTCCATGCAGGTTATTTATGATATGAACAAATGTCATTTATACAACACAAAACTTAGCGCAAAAATATTTACATCCTTTATGCTACATAATTCAAAGTTATTTACTCGCTCAAAAAATACAATGTCGGATTCAAGCACACGGAACGAAGTCCATAATATGAAATAGTTAAAATACATTCAGCACATTCAATAGCATGTCTTTGATATCAACACTTCCTTACCTTTTTTGCCAGGAAATTCTTTTCCATCCTTGATATAGAACTCCCTAATGTCCACCACAATCTTCCCCTGCCAGTTCCTGACCGAGACTCTACGGTTCTTAGACAGCTACTCCCACAAAGGTACATAAATTAGGTCAAAAGCCCAGTAAAAATGAACATAAATTACAAGCACGCACATAAACTACACTCCAAATAAATAAACATACCTCGCAGACGACGATTTGATCAGAGTCGTCAGAATTGTTTTCTGTTCTCGAAGATTTTTTCGGTGGTTCATCGCCTTCAGACAGAGCCTCATCCTCCTCCCTCTTCTTGCCCTTCTTCGACATTCCTGCTAATCTGTAAGCAAATATACGGAAATGAACAAAAATTGCAAATATATTTATTCTAGCAAATAACTTTAGACACATTAGGGTTGCGTAAACGGTCGAAGCATAAACATTTCAGACGCACACACCAACGGCGTGCTGTTGGGTTGAGAGAAGAGTGTAACCTCGGAGATTTAGGTATAGCTGCGTAGAGGGGTTTAGGAGTCGTGCTTCAAGAGTTGTATTCCTCACAAATTCGCTAATCTATATAGGCCTCCGCTTTGCCTAGTTTTTATTTAGGCTGCCGGTAAAATCATGACATTTAGCAAACATAATATAATCTTGTTTTTTTTGGCAATTCGAATCATCGAGTCAAATTTTGTGCTTTGTCTGTAGTTTTTGGCAATTTGAATTACCGAGCCGAATTTCGGGCTTTGTCTATAGTGGCGATAAAAATATAAACGACGAGGTTCGAAACTAGGACCTCAAGGTTGTATGATAACATTGGAACCAGTATACCAACCCAATTGTTTGTTAAATTTAATAACATTTAATATATATAGACACTCTTGTAGGAATAAATAAAATCAAATCTAAAATATAATGTAAATTATATTAATAAGGTAAGTTATTTTATATTAGAGTAAATTTAAATTAAGTTCAATTAAATTAAATTTATATATTTCATATTTATTAAAATAAATTAAAATATTTCATAATTATTACAATATTTAAATATAGTAATTTAATAAGTAATTTATATTATTTTTTTATATAATCATAAAATAAATTATTATATTCAAATAATTATATTATATTCATTTTTTAATATAATTAGTTAATAAATTATTTAAATTATTTTTAATAAATAATTAAATTTAATTAAATAAAAAAATGAATATAATAATTTAATAAATTATTTATATTATTTTTATATAATTATTAAATAAATTATTATATTCAAATAATATTTCATTACTTTATTATATTCATATTTTAATATAATAAAATAATTAATTACTTAAATTATTTTTTAATAAATTATTAAATCTAATTGAATAAAAAATGAATATAGTAATTTAATAAATTATTTATATTAACTTTTTATATAATTATAAAATAATTATTATATTCAAGTAATATTTCATTATTTTATTATTCATTTTTTAACATAATAAGTTAATAAATTATTTAAATTATTTTTCAATAAATTATTATATATAATTAAATAGAAAAATATTATTTGAATATTGTAACGCCCCACTTTGATTTTACAGAAATTCCGGACTTTCTAAAAATCAGAACAAATTTTTCAAAATTCATTTTCGAAATCAGGGGCATTAACCAACACAATTTACTTAG